AAAATGAGAGATAGTTGACAAAACAACCGGAGGGAAATAACTGATATCAATAGAGGGACAACATTCATTCATTTAATTAATTATTAAAGATTTATCAAGTACAATACTTACTATGTGCCAAGCTGAGGGCTGAGCTCACAAAGTAAGTTTGACTCAGGCCCTGCCTTCAATAAGTTTACAATCTAATGCTTATTCTTCAATAGTGCTTCACAAGTATTTCCACTACAGAATTCACTGCATCATATTGAATAGCCTGTCTTGAGGTAGTTGCCTCCACAGGGTAAGTTCTATATCTTACTGTCCAGTGCCTAGCACAGTAGCTGATGCAGGAAAGGTCTCAGAAAATGTTTATTAAGCAAATCATAAATGAAAACTGCATTGCCCTAGAAATACATAACTCATGGTTATCTTTCATTTTTTTCTTCCTTGCAAGATACTTTATTTCTAGTTTTTGCCTTCAGAGCCCAAATATCTTGAAATCACAGTTTTCACCCCCATCGCTCATACTGCCAATGCCTCCACCCTGCACACACACACACACACACACACACACACACAGAGAGAGAGAGAGGGAGAGAGAGAGAGAGAGAGAGAGAGAGAAAAGAATTTTAAAATTCCAATCATAACCATTCAGAGCCATTAATGAGAAACTGGACTTTAACAATCGAATCCTGGAAAACATTCCAGGGAATTACTTGCTTCGCTGCCTGACCCTGAAGACAGCCTACTGTCCCAGCATTCTTGAACACAGATTTGAGAGCACTAACAGAGAGTCTGCGTCTTTGCTCACTGCACAAATCGACTCGGATGGTGCAGCAGACAGACGACTTTTGTACAGTTGAGGAGGTCAAAGAAATTAGCAAGAAGGGCAGCTGCTTAGAGGAAGCAAAGCAGAGGCAAGGGTTTGGAGAGCCAGGCTGGAATGTAGCACCCTGGGACAAGAAAGAATAACGAGATTGGAAAACCGGGCTGCTGCCTTGTTCAAGCATATGGCAAAGGAGAAAGGAGATTAACACAAAGCCTTGGATTCTAACTGTTTAGTATCTCATGGAATGTGTGCAAGTCATGCGTAGAAGCCTTGCCCTTAGCTGGTAGGCTACCTCCTATGGGCCTCCAAATAGCCATGTCCACATTACCTACCAAATAGATCACTGAATCAAACTTGTAGGAGTTGTTATGTAGAATGAGAAAAAACCTGTTCAATCAAAGGCTTGGTTTTCTCTCCTTTTCTATTTCTGGAAGTGACCTAAGTGCAGTTCTCAAAGTCTACTTGCCTCCCACACTTTATCTATCAGTCCTGTTTCTTTGTTTCCTCCTTGTTAATTCAGCATGTATTACTTAAAGCCCTTGGACACACCAGGCCCTGAGTAAAGGTAGTGCAGCTGTTCTCATCCTGGAGTTACAGAAGACGGAGGACGACCAGGCTATTTCAAAGCAATGTGATTAGGATGGCATTAGGAGAAATCAGCAAGCACAGCGGAAGGGCTTAGAAGGCACCAGCTCCGTGGGAGGGTAGTGGACACCGGCAAGGGAAGACTGTCACAAGTCCCTGCCACTGATCACTCTGAACTGTCACCGGTCTCCTTGAAAATATTTTGATACTTCACCTGGTTTTGGGAGTAAGTGCTAAAATCAGTTTGAGAAGACATAGGTGGAAGGAGTCAGGGAACCACAGCACAAAGCTGTCTCCCTTTATCAACAGGCTACACAAATGCGCAATTACAAACGTTCTGATGTCTGTATTTGATAATCCATGTGGAAACCAACTCCAACTGAGTTTGATTCCTTTGTTCTCTTACCCCCAAACATAAATCAAAGTATTAATGGCCTTAAAACTGACCTAAGTGACCAAAAAAAGGCCTTAAAAAATATTTTTGTCTCTCCACAAATCCCCTCATTTACTATTTTAAAGGAGGCCTTTCCTTCCCCTTTCTTCCCCTGAAGAAATGAAGGACTCTGAGAGATTGAAATGTCCTTTGCCTAATGAGTTACAGAGAGATGAACCTTGAAATAAGCATGTGTCATAGATCACCTGAGCTGTGGCATTAAGAGAAAAGTTAACTTCTAAAAGGAGTGTGCGATTAAAAAAAAGAAAGAGGGCTTCCCTGGTGGCGCAGTGGTTGAGAGTCCACCTGCCAATGCAGGGGACACGGGCTCGTGCCCCGGTCCGGGAGGATCCCACATGCCGCGGAGCGGTTGGGCCCGTGAGCCATGGCCACTGAGCCTGCGCGTCCGGAGCCTGTGCTCCACAACAAAGGGGAAGGAAAAAAAAAAAAAAAGAACCAAAAAAGAAAAAAAAAAAAAAAAAAAAAAAAGAAAAAGAAAGAAAGAAAGAAAAAAAGGATCTGTAATTTTTCCATGCAGACAATAGATATTTCTCAGGAAAAGAGTATGGGGTTAGTAAGGTTAGTTTGTATTCTAACTGTCCAGAGTCTGCTCACACTGTCTCTCCCACTCAATCTCAAAGAGCTCTACCTAACCTGAAGTCAGTACTAAAATTTGACCGCATATACTTTGGTTTCCACACCTCTAGACAAGCTTCCTGGGAAGAATCCAAGTTGGAATGGAGTCAAGGAGAAAAACAATTTGAGGCCAAAACACATTATTACTGCCTTTTTTTTTTTTTTTTGAAAACATTATCACAAGACTAAAATCAATCAAATCTAAAAGAATGTTTTAATAGTCCCACTGCCGGGGGAAGAGTTGCTCACTCTGGCTAATGGGGAAAAATTCCTGGTTCCAAGGGATCAGATGTAGAGTCTGGCCCAGGCTGACCTCAGAATCATTCTTCCAACGTACAAGCCATTAAAAGAAAATAGAACTCACAAACTTTCACTGACTGGGAGATGTGCAATGCTTTTCACTTTCTGCAGTAAAAATATAAATTAAAAATGTAAGGAGATGTCAGTTTACCTCTCTCTAGGTTGCTTCTGGGTTGGAGCACAGATTTCACTAAACATATTTGTTCTATGTCTACTTAAGAGTTCCAAGATTGAGGAGATATTTTAAAAATCATCTCCTACATGTTTCATTGACATTCTGGAAGGTGTTTTTTATTCACTTAAGAACTGTTTTGTCCTTCGGGATGTTCACTGAGGAGAGACTGCTATGGATGTTTGTAGCAGAATGCAACCTGCCATCACTTCAGAAAGCATGAGTAGTTTCTCTCCTGATAAGGATCTGCAGTGACACTTGACTATCTTGCATTTGACTCAAGGATACTGCCTATTCAATTCACTCTCCTAAAGTCCCAGTTTTCTTACCTAAATTTTGGCAACCACAAAAAAATCTTTTATCTTCTCCCACTTTAACCCCTCCTAGGAAATATACACACAGGAGATTTACACAACAAGAATACACTGAAAGCATTTGAAGGTTAGAGTCTTTTCAACATTTCACCTGAGCCTCTCCCCAGTAGACTAGGGAAGCCACCACTCTAGCTATCATTTGCCTTCCCTACTCATTTTGGTGAAATTGGAGGTCAAAACTGAGCTCTGTTTTATACCGGTACCCATCTTCGTCTCACCTTAGTGTTGACAGATGTTTTAGAAACACCTCTTCAACTTGTTAGGAAATTCCTTTCTCCTGAGCTCTTGCTGACAAGTTAAAGCCAAGCAGTATTCTTTGTTTCTTTTCAATTTAGGCAACAGGTAAAATAACTTTCTTTGTGCCTAGCAGGGATAATTTATCTTCGTCATTGCACAAAACCTTCTACACTTGAACAGCCTGCAGTATGACTATAAAGGAAACAAGCAGAAGGGCAAAGCAGAAATGTCCTAAGGAAAGATTGTCACTTTTCCTTCCAAAGCATGCAATAGTAGAGCGTTTGTGAAATAAAAACATAAATAGCTTAAAAATAAGAAAACATTATCTATAATGCTAAGGCATTATTTATCATACTGCTCAGAGCAGACAACATGTAAAATCAATGCTATTGTTGCAATCATGGTAAAACCTCCTGAAGACGTTGATGAAAGAAGAAAGCCCTCTGTATTCCTCATTTCACCCTCTGAAGAGTCACCTTGATGACACTAAAAGGAAAAGACAGATGCAAGAATAACAAAGAGGGCCTCATTCCACCTGCATCAGTCACCTGGGACAAAAGGAAAGTGAGAGAGAAAAAAACAGATTAAATAGCACAAGATAAGCTGAATCCCAGAAAAATAGGAATGTGGAGATGCAGAGCTGCTTAGAATAAAAATGGAGACCATTCCAGGTGAAATAAAGAGGTCCTCAATTTAGAGCAGCATTTTCTATTTCATGATATATAGCCTAAAATATTGATTATAGTCAAAGCTAGATTCAGAAAAATTGTTCATATGAATTTCTTATGGTGCCAGTAGGATTATACTATGACACTGTGCTGATTCTGTAACTCACTCATCCAGCAGACATGGATTGAGCTGTGGAATTAAAGGAAATCAAAGGGCCAAGTGCCAGGCACTGTGCTAGGCACTAGAAATCCAAAGATGCACAAGAGAAAGGCACTACCCATTGGGGAGAGGAATTCTGAAATCCAGCCAGCCTGTATGTAATGATTCCAAAGGATATCCCAAAGCAATGATTCCTAAACTTTAACGTCCACATGAATTACGTAACGATCCTGTTCGAAGAACCTTATTCAGAAGATTCTGACAAGACCCCCAAGTAATGTTGATGTTACTGTCTTTGGGCTCCACTTTGAGTAGCAGGCCCCAAATCACAGTTGATTTCAGCTATTTCAGCAACAACGGATGACACGGGGATGAGAGGGAGCAATTATCTGACTGTGCTTTTGCTGTGCATGCTACCTGGGCAGCAAGACTGAGGTCTCTGTGGCCCATGATTCTGTACAGACAGAAGACGGTGAGTGGCTACTTTCCACCTCCTCTGAAGTTTGAGGAAATCTACTAAATTGGCAGCAACACAAAACCAGTTTAGTAATGAGATCGTTTCCTCTTGATTGGAAACCTTGCTAATGGCTAGAGTTTGTTTTAAAGTAGATAATAGAATTTCCTTACCTGAGATTCTAAGGAAAAAATATATAAAATTTTTTCATCCATCCTGAAGACTGCAATAGTGATCTGGCATTTCAAAGACTCAGCCTGCGCTGGGAGTCTACACAAAAGAAAGCAGATGAAAGCAGATTTCAATATTTGTTCAATACATTCCTATTACAACCATAAAAAGTGTTGACCTTTGGTCAAATTGAGTTTGAAGATAGATGGCATACTTAACCAAGATCCTTCCTCTCAAGGTTTATGCCTTAAAGAGAAAAATAATCTAAGAATCTAGTATCTTGACTAAAGTACCAAGACAGTAACTAGATATGAGAATTAACTTTCTGAAGAAATGTGCTTATTTAAATGTTTATTTAAAGCCGAAAGGGAAAAAAATAATCAAAGGAAATCCTTGAGCTTTTCCCCTTACCGCTTTTAAGCTGAAAAAAAATGCACATCTATTAATGTCTGCTATGGACTCAACCCCCTCCTATCTGCAATAGGACCTCAGTCATTACCCATTATTTCCCATCATCCTTTCTAGGAAACTGTCACACACTAACAGTTCTTTCTTATCAACCTAAAAGCAAGCTCATTGTGGTTCTATCTTAACAAAAGAAACATTTCTACCTTGTCTCCAGATCCACCACCCCCGACCACACCCAGGACTGCTACATCTCTCCTTTCTCAGCCACCTGTCTTGAAAGGATCATCCACACAAGTATCTTAATTTTCTTCCCCTTTTTTATTTTTATCTTTTTTTAAAGCACCAGAACACTGCTTTTCAAGTGAAATCTTATGTGAGATCCTAAGACAAAAAATAACAAGAGCACAACTTCTCTGGTTGGAAGAGGGGTTGGAGAGCACAGAATCCTCCCACTCAGTCTTCTACTCCTGCTTATCCAGTAGGTCCCTGAAACGCCTCTAAAAGATCTGAGGCTCTGCAGACCACCCCTTAACTCAATGATCCCTGCCTCCTTCTCTCTCCAGTCCAAGGAAATTGGTAAGAACACCCGGGAGCTCTTAAAATCAATAGGTGCTTTCCAGTCTATGTCTTACCTGATTCTCCCAAGTATGTGATGCTATGGTCAAGTGTGGAACTATTTACAGCTCCCACGTATTTGGTTCTCTCTTTTCAGTGCACATTCTATTTCCTCTGTTCTAATCCTCCACTGGCTTTCCATCTCGCCTAGATTAAAAACCCTAATGGTTTTCATTACCGATAAGCCCCTACTCAGTCTGCAAGCCACCTCTGTCATCTCTGACCTTACTGCCTTATGCCCTCTCACTATGTTCTAGCTATTGTTTTCTATTGCGTGTTTTTCAAAAGCATGGATCTAGAGGAAGTGCCTAAACGACTCCCTGAAAACTTGCTTTCTCATTTAATATGCAAATATACTTTTGTTTGAAATTAAAATATGAGACAGTCTCTGGTCTCTGTCTAGACTGGAAATGGTACCAGTGTGGCAGATCTTCCAAACTTAGTTAAATCCTACTGCAGTGAGAAAAAAGTCAAATTTAACAAGGATTTATTGAGTACTTCTATGGGTTATGTGGGAGACATGAGAGAAGAACTCAACATGCTTTCCTAACTAAAAATGATTATGGTTGAGTTAATGGCTGACAATTCAAACTGATGTGTGTTATATTTAATTACATGCTAAGAAAGGGAGAAAAATATTGAAAGAACCTGTCTTTTATTTTCCCTTAAATTTGAGTTCCTGACATACTTCATTTTTCAGCAAAGCTATTCTTCTGCTTCAAAGAGGGGGAAGTGAGTACTGGATCCTCACTTTCATTCCAATATTCACAATTCTGGACACTGATTTTATTTTTATTAACTTTATATTGGTTAAAATTAAGTTGGCAAAAAAATAAGTTGGCAGTATTCACATGATACTGAAAATCGTAAAATTCTAGCTCACCTCCAACCCCTATTCTTTTTGTTCTTACATTTTAAGTTAAATTCTCCACCAAATGAATCCAATGGAATGGTAATTGTATTTGTTTAAAGAGAAGTAAGTCCAAGTCACTCTGAACATAAAAACAAGATGCTGCAAACATGGCCGATGCATAACATCACAGGCATTCCTTTCTAAACCTAGATTTTAAGGATCAGAAAGAAGTTAAGTCTCTATATACTTTCTAGGCCTGTAAGTTAACGCTTGAGTGGTCAGTGCCCTTGGGGAGCTTGTGGTTTCCCGAATCACATGTAGTTCCAGACTTCCAGCTATACTGACACTCTTCTCTCTGCTAACCCATGGGAAAATGTGCTGTCAAAAGTAAATCAATTTAGTAGCTTTGTAATGTGCTCAGTACTTGTAATATTGACTATAAAACTCCTCCCGTCGTACCAAAACTTCAAAACAAGTGTAACATTTCATGGGTTGGATCTCAGATACAGTGGACCCCTCTGGTTATATCATTCCCAGATAACCGTACATTATTCTGGCTTTAAATATAGCCATGACCTCATAATAGCTTCCTTGGATGTCTTTGTCACTTTCACCACTGAAAGGAGTGTCAGATCTCTAGGCCTATTTTTTTTAGTCCTTTTTATTCTTTCATTTTGTTTGACTGTTTTTACATATAGTGTTTCTTTTCAGTCGGGAACTAAGAGTCTTGACATTTCTCCCTTGAACTACTCCGTGGTTTTCTCTTCCAAAAATGGTATAAAGACTTTGTCTAGCACATATGAAAAGTGAGCAAGCTTAGGTGATCCTACCAGGTTCCACATGACTTCACGTTTGGCTACAGCACAATTCCTGTCTTCAGCTCCTGCTTCCCCCTGCCCCTTTCACTGGGTCTGCTGATGTTCTAAATCTGTAATGCATTCCCACCAACTTCCTGGGTCAATCAACATTCAAACCACAGTATGGAGTTCACCAACAATCTTAGTCTACCAGCAAGTGGGTCAAGAATTGGTCCTTCTCTTCCAAGCATTTCACACTTGAGCTGCTTCGAAGAGCTCTAGGTTTCTACAGACCCAGCCATTAGCCATCTATCCCAACCCACCTAGGCTTGACTGCAGTCATCCGTTCCTACGCCTGGCTCTCTAACCTCCTCCTAGCCCTGGGCCTTGCCATAAACTACAGGTTACTTGACAGGACTCTGACACACAGCCTAGTTCTTGCCTCCCTTTCTCTGGAGGGCTGGACCTTGTTCACTGTACCTCTCGCTACTTCAAAGACCCCAGCTAAAAGTAAAGGAGCTGTTACAGTGGAGGATTCCTGGACTGAATGTCAATATTATGACATAGTATGAGTGGGTTTCGTGTTTGGTAATTGCAATCATCGTTGCTTTTGTTGTGTTCATCCATTTACAATGCTTGCTGTCAGTTTATTTATCTCTTGTAAAAATAAAATACAGTGTGTGTGTGTGTGTGTGTGAAAAAAAAAAAGAAACAGTGAATATATTTTCTAAAACCTTTAGGCTTGTAATCATGGTGCAGCAAATAAAATTTAATGTCAATTTGAAAAAAAAAAAAAAAAAAAAAAAAAGGACCCCAGCTATAAATGGACTGATTGCATTAGAACATGCCACCGAACATTAGAACATGCATGTGAGGTGCAGTGTTTAGCCTCAGGATGGGACATGACACACACTTATTTTTTTTTGTTATTTCTAGTAGTTTTTTTTTTTTTTAACATCTTTATTGGAGTATAATTGCTTTACAGTGTTGTGTTAATTTCTGCTGTATAACAAAGTGAATCATCTATATGCATACATATATCCCCAAATCCCCTCCCTCTTGCGTCCCCCTCCCACCCTCCCTATCCCACCCCTCTAGGTGGTCGCACAACACCGAGCTGATCTCCCTGTGCTGTGCGGCTGCTTCCCATGACACACACTTTTAAAGCAAACAGAAAGCACAATGTGTGGTTGCCATTCCTGTTGCTTTAGGCTCTGCTGACCAAGAAGCTTTAGTACCCATGGGAGGAATACTTTCTCAAGGGGACACAAGGATGATTATATTAAATTAGAAGTTGAGAAAACTGCTTGCATATCTTGGGCTTCTCTGGTATTGGGATAATGAATAAAAATGAAAAAAAGTTTGCATTTTTTACTGATACTGACTCTCTAGGGGAAACAGAGTGACTATAACACATTGCGGATGTGGGAAGAATGTGGATGGAAACCAGAGGGGGGTTTTAATACTAACCTACAGTGAAAAAAAATTATAACCAATCCCAAAAAGCCACACTGGCTCTACTACCAGGGGTTAGATGCTCATGGAATCAAAGTTCCTGAGTGAAGTCAAAGAAATATTAAGTGAGTAGTAGAGAAAAGAAATCATATATATGACCTAGTATCATAAGTGTCTACCTATATTCTTTTCCTTGCTATGCCAGGCTTACGTTTACATATTTCAACAAACTTTCCTTTTCCTTTACAATTTTATACTGAGCATGTTGGTAATAACTTTTCAGTTTAGTCCATAAGTTACAGAACATGGGCATGTGATTGTGACAGAAGCAGAGGAAGGCTGGGTACTTCCTGGGATCCTAAACTAGGAGCTGCATGCCTCAATTGAGGAGGTCCTGGGTTTCCTCATTTTGGAGAGGAAGTCACTCTACATTGGTTTTCAAGGGTTACCTTTTATATGAGAGGCTGGAATCGATGTTTGCATATGAAAATATATAGGAAGGATATCCAAAGGGGTAGCCTAAGTAAAATATTGCCATATATTTGGCCACTACATGTTCTTATGTTTGGGGAATTCTCTACTGTAAGTCTTTGGAAGATGCAGGGCCTGCCTTCCACTATAGAAGCTCAAAAAATTCACCCTGGAATTTGAATTGAGACCTAGAGACACATGGAAGGGAGAACCAGGACAGTGACAATGAGATTGAGCACTGACCATTCTGATGGTTACTACAGGCACAAATTGTAGCACTCAGCATTCAGTGGAGATGGTAGAAGTTTTGCCAAGTAGTTTGCGGTATGTTTTGGGTTGACTCTGAACCCAGTTCTTCAGTCTTCTTTGTGATTATGTAAGACACCTTATTATCTTTTTGTAAATCTATTTTCTGCTTAAATCCACCAAAGTCAGTTTCTGTTGAAACCAAAAGATCTATCTTGTCATTCTCCTGAGTCCCAGCAAAACTCCACTTTATT